ATTCTCACACCCATTTTTCCGTTACAAAGTTGAGCGACCTCCAATTTGACGCTCCATATTTAAATACATGTAAATCACGTGCAGGATTCAGGCATTGGTTTATATGTTAGATAGGCCAGACTGGTTAAATTTCAACCTGGAGGAATGCATTCCGGTCACACCAAGCTGCCTGATTTCAGTTCCACCGCCTACTGGAGTAACTTTCGTGCTGAGTGTCCGTCCATCTCCACTAGGTAACTCGGTGGCTCATAGGAAGAATGATGAGTGAGACTTCCATCAAGGAGCCAGTCAATACATGACTATGTGATGAGGCTCTTATGACGTGAAGGATGAGTGGCGATATACCCCGTCTACGTGAGAGCTAATCACATTGCTGATCAAGCACTCGCGCACAAGCGGTTAAGTGTTCAGTCACTGGCCGGTAGGTCGCGGTCCCTCCTGGAGGCGCACTGCTGATGAACTCGAACAAGAATGAAACAGCTGCACGGGGCTTCTCAGCTCTTCAGCATAGCTTGACTGTACTCACGGGACACAAATGTACTAAAATGCGGACGGCATTTTCCGTTTACTGTCGAAATAAACGGATAAATAAAAAGTGAATGCGAGAATAATGACATTAGTGATAAAAATAACGCCAGAAAAGTGAGACAACCTACTTTCTTCAACCAACTGCTCGGCCACCTCAACAGCCGTGTCTAACGCAGCATCAATCTTTGCCGAATGCTTCAGGAACAGCGGTCGAATCACATAGTTGTAGACCTGAGTGGAACCATTTTGCGGAATGGGTGCCATACAATGAAGCAGAAATAGGCACTGAAATACAAGGAGGGGAATTTCGAAAAGAGCTTTAGCAATGGAGTCGACCATGGGGTCACAAGTGAACTAAGATGCACGCCCACATTTGGGAGGTCCTTTTGGTGAGCTAGTTTTATGAAAACAACAAAAGACCTACTGTGTCTTTGATTCGCGGACGTCGCTTAAAGTTTGCGATGTTATTTTGTTCAAATTCACACTACTCTCGTTTGAACAGTCGTCCTCCTGTTCTGGCGTAGTTATTCCGCTGAGTCCACACCACAGGGAAGCACTGGACTCGAGCACATCAGCAGTGGTGCAGTGGTGATAAGACGCCCGCCTCGCATGTCATATAGCTAGAGTTCAAATCCCAGCTCGGCCTTTGGATACACATTGCTGCTGAGCTATAATAAGACCGAAACTCGAGTCCAGTGCTTCCATTTGGTGTGGACTCACCAGAATAACCACGATAAAACTGGAGGACGACCGTTCAAACGAGAGTGGTGTGAATGTGAACAAAATACCTGTCCCACAAAACCCCACATTTGCAATGTTCATTTGGCAAACCATGCGTATTGAGCAGCTTGTGAAATGGCCTAACGAGAGAACATGCAAGCACATGGACCCGCAAGAATCATCCACAGAATTGTAGTAAAGATCAACCTGCCCTTTGTGGGTTCCAACGATGTAAGATTTCTCCAAATGCAGATATTTTATAATAGAAATGAAAGAAAACCATGGGCCGTATTCAAATTAACGAAAAGCTTCAAGATTGAAGAGGAAATCAGTGTGGTCAGCACACTTTTGTTATAACAACTAAGAATGTAGCGAACAAAGCTTCTTTTCTGTGCTGTGACCTCTTGGCCAATATATCACAAATTTATATGGTAGCAGAAATCACGTAGAAAAGGTTAAGATCGGGGCTACATACACTTTAGAGAAATAGAAATCAAAGGGAGGTTGGATGAGGGATAGGTCAGTGGGTCACGGAATCAGGTAAGTGACGTCAATGTCAGACAGATTTGTGGGACCGGATGTTTCGTAGGCCAGTTCAAGTTCAGAGGTCGCACAAGTTTCTTTTGAATGCAAAGTTGCGGATCCAGCAGTCGGATTTCAATCGCCTCTGCGATCGATAGTAGTCTGGATCGTACCAGTCGTGATCGGTTCAGAGGTACCCGGTATATGATGATGAAGGTTGCTCCTTGTCTATGACATGACTGGTTTCGGCCAAATGTGATGCAATCGCGCTTGAGCCTGGTTTCTTCCCACTACCACTCAGAGATACGGGATGGTGTTCTCGCATTCTTTTCGACAAATGCCTTGTCGTACGACCAACGTATGATGCTCGGCACGAGCATACAAATGAGTACACACAAAAGCTGGTGGTAGAACGTGGCAACTTGTCTTTCAAGCAGAATTTGATATTGGGGCTGGAGTTGAAGCTCAAACATAAATTAGCAGCCAAGCATGTCGTATCAACGGAGTTTCTAAGCCTTCTGGTGATTAGTTCAGCAACCGAGTCACCTTTGAATGTAAGCCTCATGTATACGGGCTTCTTACCAACAGAACATTGTGTGGGTTTGGACTTGACGGATTCCACAGTCTTGAGTACGAACCTTTCAGGATATCCGCTATGCAGGACTTTTCTAAGCAGTCGAGCGAGCATATCTTCATTGCTCTTTCGGTCAGGCATCTAAGTAGGTTGCGTTTATTTGCAACGGAACGAAGCTACCAAAGTGAATATACTGACCTTTCCGCGTTCGCTTTCTGTGGACCTTGCGTTCTATGGTCCCGTCGGTCTTCTTTTACGGAACGAACCAAAGTGAATATACTGACCTTTCCGCGTTCGCTTTCTGTGGACCTTGCGTTCTATGGTCCCGTCGGTCTTCTTTTAAACACTGACATCGAGGAAACTCAACCGTCCGTTCTGTTCTAATTCGCTAGTAACCTTGATATTGGCATGGACTAAATTGAAACTGCTTAGCACATATGTTGTGCTGATGGTTTCGTCGGCAAGTACGAAAATGTCGTCCACGTAGCGACGATATAATGTTAACCGTCCAATGAGTGCGTCTAATTTTGGAGTCTCTAGCTTGGTCATGAAAATATCTGCCAATATGGGACCTAGAGGAGACCCCATTGCGGCCCCGTCCTTCTGTCGACAAATTTGATTGTTGAAAGTGAACTGAACGTTGTAGGCACAAAGGAGCAGGAGTTCCTTAAGATTCGAGATGGGAATTCCAATATCCTTACCGTTGCACTCAATCATGTAAAAAACAAAGTCTATTGTCTCGGTGAGTGATATGTTGGTAAACAATGACTCGAAGTTCAGGTGGAACATGGAGTGTTTATCAACCTTCAAATCTTTAGTCTGATCGGCGAAATCAAAACTGTCTCTTAGGCTGTGTTTCGACACTTCTCTCCTGATTGGTTCTAACAGACTGACAAGCCATTTGGCTAAAGCGTGATAAGGAGAATTAGACATATCGGGGATGGGCCTGAGAGGTAGGCCCTGTTTGTGCACTTTCGGAAGATCATAGAGCCGGGGAATTGTTGTGACAGTGGGGTAGATACGCTCGAAAGTCTTGGTGTCAGTGCTTCCGGATTGCTCAAGACATATTAATACTTTGGACACCGCTTTTTCAATCACATGCGTCTTGCCTTTCTCGGATTCTGTTTTTTAAAATTCGGATCTGAGGTTTCCATTCAAAGGTGACTCGGTTGCTGAACTAATCACCAGAAGGCTTAGAAACTCCGTTGATACGACATGCTTGGCTGCTAATTTATGTTTGAGCTTCAACTCCAGCCCCAATATCAAATTCTGCTTGAAAGACAAGTTGCCACGTTCTACCACCAGCTTTTGTGTGTACTCATTTGTATGCTCGTGCCGAGCATCATACGTTGGTCGTACGACAAGGCATTTGTCGGCGGTGAATTTTTCACCGATCACGACCGGCACGATCCAGATTACTATCGATCGCAGAGGCGATTGAAATCCGACTGCTGGATCCGCAACTTTGCATTCAAAAGAAACTTGTGCGACCTCTGAACTTGAACTGGCCTACGAAACATCCGGTCCCACAAATCTGTCTGACATTGACGTCACTTACCTGATTCCGTGACCCACTGACCTATCCCTCATCCAACCTCCCTTTGATTTCTATTTCTCTAAAGTGTATGTAGCCCCGATCTTAACCTTTTCCACGTGATTTCTATTACCATATAACTTTGTGATGTATTAGTCAGGAGGATCAATCACAGAAAGCAAGTATTGTTCGCTACCTTCTTCGTTCTCATGACTACCCACGGGTATTTTCAGCCACATTCTTGTAAGTTTTCTAAGTGAAACTCTATTCGCCAAACGAATCAAGGAGTGATTGGTACGCTGCTTGTGCTCGCAGCTTTTTACGCAGGAACTTCTGTCAGTGAGTTTTACCTTAACCGCTGAGTTTTGTAGAGCTACTTCCTTAAATATTTGCTATTGGTGGAAATGTTGATAGCCCAAGTTGTATAGATGCCTAGTGTTTTGGTTGTCTTCGTTTAGCGGTTTGATTCCAGACAAAATTGCAAACAGCTACCTGAACACTAGCTGACCTAATTATCTTTTAACATGCGACCAGTACAGAGACAGAGAGAACAATAGACATATCTGTAAAAGCCTAGAAGTCCCCCATTTTCCCTCGGCCAAAGTACAGTAACAAACCAGTTGTGTTAGCCACTACAAAGGCCCTAAATTTCCACTGTAGCAGCTGCAAATACTCGGAACTTACTGTTCGCGCGAAGACATGGTAGGAAAAACTCCAACCTAGACGGTAAAAACACTATACAAACCAAGAGGTATCGTACTTAAACTTTACGTCCGAAAGTTGGGAGAGTCAAGAATCGAAACTGAAGATGAAAAACTTCGATAGAACTGGTAGTCTTATAGAGAGGTATGCATGAATATGCTAAATACTATGAAGGCCACTTAACGAAACACTTGCATCGTATCACGGCAAAAGTGGCCTCATATTCCATCGCAGTTTGTACTTCGCGACTCCACAACCTCCCGTACCCAATAAAATCCCTGCAACCTTGCCTATTCAAAATCACATTGACCAACTCCACCCCACGGTATACAACTTACTTGGCCTCTTGTCAAAAATAAATAACGATCAACCTCGAGAAGTCCAGAGTCATAGGGATAAATTTGTATACTTTGTAGCACAGCGCGCTGTCCTTGTCAGGTTTTAGCCCACACCGAGTTCCTAGACCTTGGAACGCGCTGACAAACAAAACCTTAACAACATATCTCGAACAAAGCTTTTTATCGCCATCCATAAGAGAACTGCCAGGAGTCCCATTTGAGAAGCCGGTCTAACCCTGATCACTTCTCATTCACTCACCTGAACGAGTTTCATAACATACTCAAGACCATTACAGCATCAATATTCTACCATTGAACCTACCAACTATGTTTGAAGATGCCACAAGCATCGAAAATAAACTATTTGAACAGACAAAAGTTTGTGAAGAGCAACTTGGTTTCAGACAGACATCAGTGATGTCGAAAACGTTGCTATAACCTTTGTCGATAACTGGGTCACTACATTCGGTGGACCAGCTAACATCACCACTGACCGAGGTCCGCAATTCACATAGCTAACATCACCACTGACCGAGATCCGCAATTCACATCAACAATTTTTCACGACCTCAAAGGGCTACTTGGTACGGATCACTTCCGAACAACCGCATACCATCCGGCTACCAACGGCATGGTCGAACGCTTCCATCGACAACTCAATGCATCACTGATCGCCTCCTCTAGCACACACTGGTCGGAACGGCTCTCGCTCATTCTGCTTGGGTTGCACAGCCTCTGAACTAGTCTTCCAGGTGAAACGATCGTCGACTCTGCAACCACTGGTGAAACGGATCCTAAATCCTACGCTTCCAGGCTTCGCCAACACGTGTGATATCCGTCCTTCACCAACTCGACAAACCTCCAAGCCCACCCAAGTACATCCCGATCTTGCTAG